TTAGTGAATTTCTAAATGAACTGAAAGCAAGAGGAAGACGTTCACTCAACCTTCCCGTCAGGAAAGCTGCCACAGGGAGGCCCTACAAATGAGCATGTGTCTCAGGAAACAGTCCTTCACCTTCTGCTAGCATATCTATTTCATGGTTCCTCTTCCAAACCATTCAGTTGCAGCCTGCACTCTCTAAGAAGGCTTTCCAGTAACTCTTCCTGACAGGCCACACTTTTCTACTGTGGGCCTTCTCCCTTGAGCAAGGAGATTTAACTACCTGTAGACTTTTGTGGAATTGTTTTTCTTGCTGCTTAGTTGCATTTGCTTTGGATTTACATAGTCTCCCTAGATAGCACTGCCTGGCTTCAAAGTCACAATCCTCCTGCCTCACACTGGATACTTGTGTGTACTACCTACCACTCCAGACTAAACTTTTCTGTTGTTATGAAGCAGGGTCTCCTGTAGTCCAGGTGTCCTTAAACTCACTACACACTACAGAGCTGACGGCTCTGAACTCCTGCCTCTGTCCAGCAAGTCCTGGGATGACTGGAATGTGTGCCATGCCTAGTTTTATACAGTGCTGGGGATGGAACCCAGGACTTCTTGCATGCTAAGCAAGTACTCTACCTATGGAACTACATTTCCAGCCATCTTTAACTCTGTCCTTTGTGAGATGTCGCTGTGTGGCCACCAAGGCCTCACAGACTAGGTGGGGAAGCATCACGCCCCATCTGGCCACATTCTTCAGTGTTCTTCCTCACGGGCCAGATCATCCAGTGGGCATGCGTGATTGGCCATCTGACGAAGGAGACAGGAAACTGTCTACATGGCCAACTCCAAGACAGAAAGATGGGAAAGATTAGTTTCTTTGACTCTGGAGAAGTGAAATCCCGTCTCTATGGCTTGCTTAGGAGAAGGAATAATAAACCAGGAGCCCTAGGTAAAAATGAAAAATACCTTCGTAATATCACAGACTCCACCCATTGGTCTTGCCTACAGCAGTTAGTATGTATTATGGTGTATGCCAAGTGCTGGTCTTAAATTTCTGTTCTTCCTTCTATACTCGCTAACCAGAAGGAGGAAAGTACCATTCTTCCTCTCCATTTAAAATTCTGTTTATTTATCTAAACTATTATTATATGGATATAATACAGATAATATATAGAGTGTTGCAGATAATTTATTTTATGAGTTATAATCTAACCATAACATTACTTTTTACTCAAACTCTTCTAAATCTGGTCCTCAGGTTCCCTCAGAAGTCTCCCCATCCCCCATTCAGCAGTGGTTGTGTTGATTAGGTCTACCTTGAGGCCTCTTTGCTTGCTGAAGTCACACTCCTCAGGTTCATCTTCGGCCTTCCCTTTCCCTGCCTTGGAGCTCCCACCAGTGAACCCTGCTCTTTTATTGAACAATGACATGTAGTAATCAAGGTTTGGGCAGTGGGTGTATCCTCTCTATGGACTTAATCAGAACGTTTCTTTATTTACCTCTGTCATCTACCTAACATAATCAGAACATTTTCTTTATGTACCTCTATCCTATTTATCTATGTGTCTGTGTGCTCATGAACCTGCTTGCCTCATGGATTCTGAGTCCTGGCACACGCCCTGATGGTTTTTACTTTTTTTGGTTTTGTTTTTTAGACAAGATCTTGCTACACTGCTCAGGTTGGTGTAGAACTAGGTCCTAATGACGTTCCCACTTCGGCTCTGCAGGTGCTGGGACTATCGGCGGCTTGCGCTGCCTGGTTTGAAGTTTTGCTCATCTTTGGGCCCTCCACCATGGTGTTCATAAGCCTCATAGGGACCTCACCATTTGCATTTCCCAAGTTAACCCAGTTACAGCCATATTGCTTAACCGAGTGCCTCCTGAGTAAGCTAGCTATTCTCACTGAGGCACTTGCCCTCCAGCAGACAGCAGACAGCTGCTCCCTCCTGATTGCTCAGACCAAGGTTTAGTGCTAAAGATCAACCCTGGGACTCTGCCAATGCCAAACAATGCCCAAGACCCTCAGGTTTTCAATTTTCCCTAACAGATGGCATTTTTGGGGATGCTTCATGCGTCTTTTCATATATTTAAGCTTTTTTCCCTTTTCATTTCTTTTGTAAGTTATTTGGTCTTTTCATTATTTCCTAACCTTGGGACTTCTGAATCTCTCTTGCTTTGATTTTTTTTTAAAAAACCATTCTCAGTGTCAAATTTTGTGCCCATTCTACTTATCCTTGTTTTGCTAAACCTTTAAAGACACACACTATTTGCAGAATACACTCAGTGATGGGAAGAGAAGCCTTTAGAGTTGTTTACTGATCATGACAATGGTCAACAGATGCAGACATTTAAGAGGTCTTTGTAAGCCTCTGTCCCTCTCCCACCCCCTGTGCGCTCCACCCCTCTCTTATAGATAGGAACTCACAATGTAATCCTGGATCTCACAGATAGGGTCTCACAATGTAGCCCTCACATGAGCCTGGATAGAAGGAACGCTGGGCTAAAGGTGTGCATCACCATGCCTAGCCTGCCTCTTTTAAAATTAAACCAATTTTACTTTCCTCTGTAGTAACCAGGAGGCCTGTTTTATTTATTATTAACCGTACTGGTATGTGCCAAGATTTAGGCATATTTAAAGTATCCTTTAACCCTCCCGGTCATGTGGAGAAATATGTGAACACACCCATCATTTGAGGCTTGGCTTCGTTTGCTGCTTTCTTTTTCCATTCAAGGGAAACACTAAACCAGCAGATGTTGCAGGTGATGGAATCTAGAGAAAGCAAAGGTGACCTAAGCTTCTAGCCGACGCTAGGAGACAGACCAAATCCCCGGTTTTGAAAAGCATTCTTTCTATTTAGGAGGTGATCTCTTTATGCCATCGTGGAACGCACTCTGTAGTCCAGGCTAGCCCTGCCTCTGTCTCCCTAGTGCTGGGAATAACGGTGTTTGCCACCATTCTCGGCCCTTTTGTGCTTTTAAAAATATGCACCGAATTCCTAAATAGAAATGCCCCCGCACTGTTAGTGCATAACTCAGCAAGACAGTTAAAATCCCTACTGTGACAGGGCTGGAGAGCACTGGCTGTTCTTCCAGAGGTCCTGAGTTCAATTCCCAGCAACCACACAGTGGCTCACAACCATCTGTAATGGGATCTGATGTACCTTCTGGTGTGCAGATTAAGCACTCATACACACGAAATAAATGTTTTTTTTTTTTAAAAAAACCTACTGTGAGTCTAGCAAGACAATTAAAATACCTACTGTGAGCCTAACACTTCTCAAGAAAGTGAGAAAAGAGGAAAGAGGCTGAGAAGCGGCTCAACAGGTAAGTGTGCCTGATGCACACGTGAGAGTCTGAGCGTGATCTCCCCCCCCACACAGCTGGGTAAGAAGCTGGGCGTGGCTTCACACACCTGTCACCCCACCTACGGTAGGGAGTGCAGGAGTGGAATGCTGAGGCTTGTGGGTCAGGCCCAGGGACTGGCCCACCTCCAGGGAATGAGGCAGAGGGGTGGAGCAGAACACCTGGCCCCATCAGGCCTTCACAGGGCACACACATCTGTATACACACTGTATGTACAACACACACACACACTTTTCTAACTAAGAAAAGTTTCCTTTTTTCTCTTTCTTTCTTTCTTTCTTTCTTTCTTTCTTTCTTTCTTTCTTTCTTTTTGGTATATTGAGACAGAGTTTCTCTGTAGCTTTGGTGCCTGTCTTGGAACTAGCTCTTGTAGGCCAGGCTGGCCTTGAACTCACAAAGACAGTTTCCTGTTTTCTAAGAGACCTTCACAGACCAGGGACAGTCCTGTGTTCAGCCAGACAGAGAGACTAAAAGAGGATTCAAATTTCACAGTTTACTTACCCCCCTCCACATTCCCTATTTTCTTATCAACTCAATGGAAATAACCATTTTCAGTGTCAGAGCTGAGCAGATGGATAAGCAAGGTCTAATACCAGACCTGATCGGTTGGAACCTCAATGAACTAGTTGGCAGTATCACCAACAAGGTGGGTGTGGAAACCATCAGAAGCAATGTCCTTACCGAATCTGTTTGTGTTATGGCCACTCTCCACTGGATTTTTACGAATTTTTTAAAACATTAAACTTGTCGGGAAACTATACTTGGTGCTCTCAGTGCATGTGTGAGGTGGGCAGGCCGGTGGCCACTTCGGTTTTACAGATGAATAAATGGAAAATGAAGTGGCTGGTTAGATGGCTCATCTGAGCTCATGAGGCTTTAGAGATGAGGGCTTTAACAAAGATCCTGCCCTTCCAAATATCAGGTACATCCTTGGACCCCAACACTCTCTTGTAATGAAGAGAAATTAGGAGTCACCTAACAAAATAAATTTTATAGGCTTTGCTGAGCTGGGACTGGTGACACACATCTAGAGTTCCAGCATTTGGAAGGCTCTAAGCTAGCTAGCTAGCCTGGGCTACATGATGAGAGCCTGACCCAGAAAACACCATAGAAACCTGGTGGGACTATTATTATGGTTCGCTGGTCCCTGCCTGGTGTCAGGGCTGACAAAGGGACCGGTTTTGGAGCAGCTTGGATGCAGGAGAAGCTGTCAAAACCGGAAGAGGCAGAGCAAGGGGGAGGAGGGTGGGGATGCACTCCGCTCTGGCTGTTGGCTTAAGAAAAGGTGGTTTTCCATGGTTCCCTGACCCTACCTCTGTCACAGGCCAGTTGTTTGTTTCCTAGCTCCTGGACAGCAGGTACCTGTTTATAAATAGCTCCAGATCAGCCCTCTTTCGTTTCTTTTGCCCATGAGAAGCATCTGCTCGCCTTCAGTTCAGTGAACTCTGGTCTCCTGGGGCCTCTGTGCCCTCAGAGGTGGAGACTGCAATGCTCTTAGAGACCAACAAGTTGATTTCTCCAACCACATCCCTCTCTAGCCTGTAGAGCACAGCGGTTAGTTCCAGCCTAGGAGGGGAACACAGCGCCTTCCCCAACACATCGCCTTCTTCCCCTCGGCAGCTCCAGGCAGTTAATACCAGCATTTTCTTTTTCAGACCAGGGCATCTGAGACCTCGCACTGAAGATGGCTCAACCACAAACAGTAATTGTGACTCAACCTGGATTTGTTCGTGCTCCCCAGAATTCCAACTGGCAGACCAGCCTGTGCGATTGCTTCAATGACTGCGGAGTCTGTAAGTACAGGGAAGGTGCCCCCCCAACCGATTCGGGGTCCGTTCCTCCCTTACTGTGTTGAAAACTGCTAACTTATTTAGACGCCTAGACAACCTGGAACGGTACAGTCAGCATCAAAGACAGACTACTGATTATAGCTGACTCTTCTCCTGTCCCCGCAAAATAATGATGTTACCCCTAAAATAAATTCTAGAGTTAAGGTATTGGAAGCTTTAAGTGATTCTCAAACTGAACAGGCTTGGCCTAATTTTATAAACAGATTATACATAAATGAAACATTTTTTACTTGAACCTGACTTTTTTTGGTTTTGGTTTTTTTCGTTTGTTTTATTTTTTGAGACAGAGTTTCTCTGTGTAGCCGTGGCTGTTCTGGAACTCATATGTAGACCAGGCTGGCCTTAAACTCACAGAAATGCCTCTGCCTCCTGAGTGCTGGGATTAAGAAAAAAAAAAGCAATAGTCATGAAATCTCTTCTTGGTTATACAATACTAAAATGCCGTTTTATAGTTATATCACAGGACATCTCTCTAAGTGAACTTGGAAGAAAGTCAGGTGGGGTGGCAAAGTGAACCAGAGACTTTGTCCTTAGCAAATCAGGAACAAAAGTTTTGCTTTGAGGCCTGTTCCTCAGAATGGTAGGGAAATAAATACACCAGCTTTAGCTTGCAATGGAACAGACCTTGGAACGGAACAAAGCTAATAATTACACGGTGAGCACAGACAGAAGGAATTACACGCGTGACCCTTCACCAGCTCCCCTTGACTTCCCAGCTAACACGGCTGGTTGACTAACATGCCTCATGACATTGTTTTGATATCTGAAAATCAAAGTTATAATAAAGACTTACGATAGTCAAATTCCCTAAACATTAAATTTGAATCCTCCAACCCCAAGTTATTGCTCAATTATTTGAGTGTTCAATTCCTTGGCTATGTGAGTTTTGATGCAGGGGCTGTCAGGATGACTCAGTGGAAGTGCCTGTGGCCAGACTTGACCCACATGGTAGAAGGAGAGGACCTACTCCTGGAAATTATCCTCTGACCTTCACGGTTTCATGCCTCCACACACAAACACTAAAATGTAATTTTTAAAGGGGCCAGGGCAGCCTTCATTGCTTTGTGGCAGATTTTTTTTTTCTTCTGGTTTTTCAAGACAGAGTTTCTCTGTGTAGCCCTGGTTGTCCTGGAACTCACGCTGTAGACCAGACTGGCCTTGAACTCAGAACTTAGAAATCCGCCTGCCTCTGATCCTACCTCTTGAGTACTGGAATTAAAAGTGTGCAGCACCACCACCCAGTTTATGAAGATTTTCTTAAAGCAGATCTGGCCAAATCATTCTCCCTGTACAAATACTTGGTGCTTCCTCCTGGCCTTGACGGCAGAAGCAAACACCACCTGATTTGTCAGCATGACTTCTGTACATGTACACGCACACAGACACACACACACACACACACACACACACACACACGCTGCCTTAAGCCTAGGTCACCCCCTAACTTCATCCCCATCCTATCCCAGGACACTGGCCACAGTGAATGAATATGACAAATTGTCTCCAGGAGGCGTTATTCCCTTCGGTTCCTTTTAACAGTTTCTAACCCTGCTTCACTTTCCAGCTCAGGCAGCACTTCCTGTTCAGGGCCTCATGGGCTGCGCTCTGAAGTGAGGCTAGCTCTCCCCTGCACATCCTTTCCTATTAGGTCCCTATTGGATCTCAGCTGGGAGTATCGTCAGTACCTAGGGTTTGACCTGGAACACGGGTGGGTTTCAGTAGTTAGCACATGAGCGGCCCTCCTGCAGAAAGAGCTAGGTCTTTTCCCCCCGGCAGTCGCTCTGGAAATGATGGGGGTGCGCACGTAACAAAGCTCCACCCAAACAACGAGGACAGACTTGGCTGCAGAGAGGGGAAGGTCCCCCACTATGTGATCGCTCTTGGCCTTAGCTGACGTGGGCAAACCAGAGTAACCTGTACCCCTGTTTTTGTGTTTCCAGGCCTCTGCGGGACATTTTGCTTCACATGCCTTGGGTGTCAAGTGGCAGCCGACATGAATGAATGCTGTTTGTGTGGGACAACTGTGGCAATGAGGACGCTCTACCGAACCCGATATGGCATTCCCGTGAGTCTCTCACCTTTTATTATTCAGGCTGCAACAGAATTTACCATCGCTGTTGTAGGAGTGGCCGGAGTTTGATGGTATCAGGGCTCTGAATTTGTTTGGCCAGAGCTTTGTAGCGTGTACAACCCTAAATTCAGTTGACTTGGCAGTAGTCCCTCTTCTTGTGTGCCCTCTGAACATCCTAGAAGGCAAACAATTTGTATTTGCAAGGTGTAGACTACAATAGAGGATTATCTAGAGCCTAGTGAGCTTCAGGGGCCTGAACTCACCACCGACCTTGTAATGCCTGTGTGGGTTGTGGGGTAGGGTCCGCCATGTCTTATCAATGAAGACTTCAAAGTCTGTAAGAGGCAGAGTCTTTGGCCCAGAGGTGTGCCCCAGTGTCAGAGAGAGACGATGTCCCGTCCAAACTGTCTGTGGACACCTTTTCCCTTACTCCTGCGTCACTGTATGAAATGGGGTAGTGTTTTAATTAGAGTTACACAAGAAGCGGTCCATAGGGTAAGTAGATGTGCGTGCATATGTGTGTGTACACATATCTCTATATATCATATAGGAATGTACACACACATATATATTTGCCTCCCTCTGTGTGTGCATAGAGAGAGAAAGGGACAGAGATAGAGGTAAAGAAAAAAAAAATCGCATAGTGGTGGCACACCCCTTAATTCCAGCACGCAGGATGCAGGAGGATCTCTGTATTTATTTATTGATTGATTGTTTTTTGAGACAGGGTTTCTCTGTGTAACCATCCTAGCCTCGCTAAGTGGACCAGACTGGCCGCGAACTCACAGAGATCCGCCTTCCCAAATGCTAGGATTTAAAGTGTGTGCCGCCACCACCTGGCTGAGAAATCCTGTCTAAAAAAAAGAAAAGAAAGGAAAAAGAAAGTCAGAGCAAGAGAGAGAGAGAGAGAGAGAGAGAGAGAGAGACAGACAGACAGACAGACAGACAGACAGACAGACAGACATTTATTTTAAAGTCATGCAGTGATGGAAGCCAGTAAGTCCAAAACTTGAAGTGCAGGCTGTCAAGCTAGGTATTAGTGAATGAGCTGAAGATCAAGTCAACAGGCAGTTTACGAGTGGAGTCTTCCTTATTCAAAAGCCGTCCATCTCCTCCTCTTTCTTCTCCTCCTCCTTCTCCAAGGTCTTCAACCAGCTAAGCATGGTAGTACACACATGAGCACGGTAGCGCGCACACACACACACACACACACACAAACATGGTAGCACACACAGCTGAGCATGTAGCACACACACCTGTAATCTTAGGACTTGGGAGGCTGAAGTAGAAAGATTGGGAGTTTGGCACCAGCCTGAGCACTGTGACCCTGTTGAAAGGAAGGGAAGGAAGGAGGAACCGGCGAAAGGATACAGCCGAAGAGAGCTCAGTCAGTAGAATGTGTGCCCCGCGAGCCTGAGTTCAGTCCCGGCACTGGGAGGTGGAGACAGATGGACCCTGTGGCTCGCTGGTCCCGCTGGCCCTCCTGGCCCCAGCCTGATGAGCTAGCCTCAGGTCCTATTACAAACTGGTCTGCCGCTGACTGGAAGAGAGGCCATCTGAATTATATGAAGTGATCTGCTCTATTCCAAGTCTGAAGATTTAAATGTTAATTTTGTCTCAAATATATCTTCAAAAAACATCTAGAATAATGTTGAGCCAAACGTCTATGCTTGGCTGTGGCCTAGACTGGGTAACACACAAACTTAACCATCACAGGGAACACACACGTGCAACATTTTCTAGGAACCTAGTTTATTTTGTTAAAATTGTTTTTTTAATTGAGAAATTTAGTTAGTCTTCTTTTATTACAAAGCAATGTTAAAATATCTAACAAATTTAAACAGAAATACATGGAGTAAAAAGTGAAAATTAATAACCAAGTCTTCTGCTTGGAAATTAGTAATAGCTTGTGTGCATCCTCTGTAGACATGTTTCTGCCCGGTAACTCACAGATATACATTTGTGTCAATGCAGGTTTGTGAACTGATAGTCTTGGAGGAATATTTGGCAGTATCTCTCAGAGTGTTTGTACCCTGTGAGCTCGCAACCTACTCTCTGGGACACTACCCACTGTTTTCTACCCTGCCTCTCCCGGAGCCCTGAGACCCACGTGAGGGGCCTTGGCTTTGATTATCCTGGGAGAACTGTGCTGCCTGCTCCCCTCCTCCTCCCCTGCCTGCTCCCCTCCTCCTCCCCTGCTCTGCCTGCTCCCCTCCTCCCCTGCCTGCTCCCCTCCTCCTCCCCTGCACTGCCTGCTCACCTCCTCCTCCCCTGCCTGCTCACCTCCTCCCCTGCCTGCTCCCCTCCTCCCCTGCCTGCTCCCCTCCTCCCCTGCACTGCCTGCTCCCCTCCTCCTCCCCTGCCCTTTGCTGCTGAGCTTGGGGTTTGTCTAGTGTAGAGTCCCCACTCCTTCCCCATGGCTGCTGCTTCAGGTTGCCCATTTTGTTTGACTTTGTTTGACTTTCTCCTCCACCACCGTCTGTACTTAAATTGCTCAGGATTTCTGGCCCTTCTAAAGGCCACCAGCCCCTGTTTTCTAGTGTGGCTTTCTATTTATTTATTTATTTATTTTGTATACAACATTCTACCTCCATGTTTGCCCACATGCCAGAGGAGGGCGCCAGATCTCATTACAGATGGTTGTGAGCCACCATGTGGTTGCTGGGAATTGAACTCAGGACCTCTTGAAGAGCAGCCGGTGCTCTTAACCACTGAGCCATCTCTCCAGCCCCTGTGGCTTTCTTTTTTAATGTATGAAAACTCTGAAGCTTTAAATGATCTCATTTTATAGATTGTCAAGGAAAACAACCCTCCCCTAATTTTCTTCACCTACTTTGCCCTCTACAGAAACACTTTTTTTGCTTTTCCTTTGAATATTTTCTTCTCAATGTGGGATTTACCTATGGACTTCGCAGAGGCCTGGACTTTAGTCCTCTGTCCCTTCTGGGTTCCCACCCCACTCTCTCCTACATGGTTCTTTGTATCTTTGGCTAATTCCATGTCCAGGTTTTATATTATGACCCCAACACTTCTTCATTCAACATCGCCGTCAGTGTCTTATAGTGAATGTGGTTACATTTCCTGCCAAACTTTTACTTTTTTATTACTTAGTACTTGGGAGTGCTTTGACCCCAAATTGTCTGCCACTTCCCTAATTCTCTTCCCCAAATGTCCAGCGCATCGCTTGTCCGTGTTTTTCTCCTGCTGTAACTGTGTTGAGCCAGGAGCTTCCTGGCTGTGAGAGCTGACTTCCCGAGTCTCCTTATTGCACTCTTGGACTTGGTAGTTTGATTAAATCTTATATTCTCAGAATTATAAAGTACTGGAACAGGGAGGCAAGTGTTGCATGGAAAAGTCAGCTAAAGTTTTCCTGGAAGTACCCCTCTAGACCAAATCCAGGGCCAGTGAGATGGCTCCATGGATAAAGGCTCTTCCAATCACACTGGAAGACCAGGACCCACTTGGTGGGTAGAGAGAAGTGAAGGTTTCCCTCTGACCTCTGTGAGCACACATGTGTGCACACACATGTACACGTACACACACATATATACATGCACACACATGTACATACACATGCACACACGTACACAATGCACACACACGTACACACATGCACACACATACAAACACATATTCACACACACAAAAAGAATAAACATAAAAAGAAATAAAGTAAACTGAATCCAAAGAGTCAGGACTTTCTGTTCTCTAAATATATCCCCAGCAGCAGGCCGTACACTCATGTCTCTTCACGTCTTTCACAGGGATCCATTTGTGATGACTATTTGGTCACTCTCTTCTGTCCTGTTTGCTCTGTGTGCCAAATCAAGAGAGACATTAACCGGAGGAGAGCCATGAATGCTTTCTAAGAGCCGGATGGTGAGTCAATGTGGGACTTGAGAAACAGAGCTGGGGGCTGGGCAATTTATTCATTTTTGGGAATAACAACTCAAAATAGCAATTCTGTAAGTCTCCCAAAGAGCGATCTCATTGTAATAATATGATATGATTGGTTTTGCTTTCTTCTCACTTTGAGGTATATTTTAGTAATGATGAATTTTTATAAACCTACCAGGACGGCTTTGGTCTATTAATGAAGCATTTTACTGTAACTTATTAGCTACCAGAGTAGAGTAAACAAAAAAAAAAGTTGAAGTTAGGTATAGTGGTCTATCCTTTAACCCCAAAACTCAGGAGGCGGAAGAAGGGTTACCCTCAAGCCCAGCCTTGTCTCATAAGTTCCAGACTAGTCAGGACTATGATGGCTATGACAATCTAAGAAGGGCCTCTCTCACAAAATAAAACGAGGGGTGGCGTTATGATTCACCGTGTAAGTACTTGCTGTGTAAGTACAAGAACCAGGGTTTAGATGCCCAGAACCAGTGTGTGTGTGTGTGTGTGTGTGTGTGTGTGTGTGTGTGTGTCTGTCTGTCTGTCTGTCTGTCTGTCTGTCTGTCTGTGTCTGTGTATCTGGCGGGGGTGAGGGGAGCATGTGTGAAAGCTGGGCATAGCACAGGGGGCAAAAACAGAGAATCCCCGGAACTCACTGGCTAGCAAGCCCAGGTGAAAGAGCAAGTTTCAGGTTAGTGAGACCCTGTCTGAAAAACAAAAGTGGAGAAGTGATGGAGAAAGATACTTCAATGTCAGTCTGACCTCTTGCATAGGTGAACATACCTGCAGGGGGAGGGGGAGCAGGTGTTTTTAAAAACTGAAAAGACAAATAAATAAAGAAAAGCAAAAGATATACTTCATACTAAGACAATGTGGTGAAGCCGGGAGGTGGTGGTGCACGCCTTTAATCCCAGCACTCGGGAGGCAGAGGCAGGCGGATCTCTGTGAGTTCCAGGGCAGCCTGGTCTACAAGAGCTAGTTCCAGGACAGGCTCCAAAGCTACAGAGAAACCCTGTCTGGAAAACAAACAAGCAAGCAAACAAAACAGACAATGTGGTGAAACAGGTAAACAGTTGTAAGGTGAGAATTTAAAAATATATACTATGCTAAAAAGCAGAATGACAGAGTCTGCAACATTTAGGTTATCTGTGGTATACAAATTCATTTGCTGAGAAGATGAGGTTTAACAGATAAGGTCCTCAGCTGCGCCAGAGAGGCATAGATGTCCCTTGGCCAATGCTAGACTGAAATCCATATGAGCTACTTAGTAAATCCAGCTTTGTCCAGTAAACATTTACATATACAGTCACGTGGGAATATATTTCTTGATAAGTAACTAAGATCGCACATTTAGTTGTGCAAGAGTGTTTATAAAGTCTTACTGATTTCTGAGATTGCATTTTAAAGGACACATACATGTGCGTCTGCACGTGCATCTGCACAAAGCCGTCTAAGAGGGTGCTGGGAACCAAACATGGGTCCTTTTTGAGAGCAGCGGGCACACTTAGCTGTTGAGCCACCTCTGCGGCCCCCTAGACTCATACGCACATGGAGCTCTACCTGCCCAGTCACTCAGCACCTCACCACATCTACCAGAATAGAAGTCGTGGGTGGAGGTACTTAGTGCAAATGTCTACAACAAACGCAAATAAAGGCAACTGTGCATTAAATAAGTGACTGTATATCTTATTAAGAGATCTCAAATTAGAATAAAAATGTATAAATACTCCAAAACAAAATACATTAATGAACAAAATGAACACAAATGCCCTTTGCAAGGGCTAGAGAAGGAGCTGATGACATTTGGAAACGCTGGATAACATTTCTTCCTCTGTAACTCCCCTTGCAGCTGACTGTTCCCAGACTTAGCTGCTGAGAACGCAGGTGAGGAGAGATTAACCCGAAATTGTCTCTTCTCTCTGTACGAGACAAGATAACATTAATTTCCCCGTTTTTTACAATACCCCACTTCCTGTCTGAAGTGGATAATTACATAGGTTAGCAAACATTATTTCTAAAGGTATATTTTGTTTTTAGTATGCATGTGTCCATGCATGCATGTCTTTGTGCGTGCATGTGCGCAAGTATGTCTGTGTGCATGCGTGCACATGTGTGCAGGTACCTGCAGAGCCCAGAAGAGGGCAGCAGATTTCCTGGAGCTGGATGGAGTTAAAGGTACCTGTGAGTCACCTGATGTGGGTACTGGGGACAACTCTGCCCTCTGGAAGAGCAGCAAGTGCTTTCAACCCTGAAGCCATCTCTCAAGTCCCTGCCCCCCACCTGGTTTTTTTTTTTAAGTTTTATCTATTTTATGTGTGAGAATGTTTTGTCTTTCTGTGTGCATGTGCGTGTGCGTGTGCGTGTGCGTGTGTGTGTGTGTGTGTGTGTGTGTGGCACCCACGGAGGTTAGAAGAGAAAGTTAGATCCTCTGGAACTATAGTTACAGTGGCTGTAAGCACCACATGGTGTTGGGAACCCAATCCAGGTTCTCTGCAAGAACAAATACTATTAACTGCTGAGCTCTCTCTTCAGCATCCCCCAAACAATTCTTGAAAAATGTATAAAACACTATCCATTTGCTTAGCAATTAATGTATGAAATATCTAGTAATGCATGAAAAATCAGCTACGGGCGGGAGCTGGTAGCCACACCTTTAATCCCAAGCGTAGGGGAAGCAGAGGACTGAGTTCCAGAAGAAGAAACCCCCGTCTCACTAGTTCCCCATCCTTACAGCCCCTGAGTAGAGCGTCGTGTTAAATGGGTGCCTTTAGACAGAGCGCTGCAGGGAGGTGACATCGTGAGATGAGTAAAGAACGTTTCTTGAAAGAAGTGGGTTTGGGGTCTAGAGAAGTTGTCAGTAGCTGACTGTAACAGGCTGGTGACGGAGATGTGGATGGAGACAGGTGACCCAGGGCAGTTACCTACTCAGCAACAGCGCCTCAGCTGTTACTTCCTCTAAGTCCCAGGAGAAAGTGGGATGGGTCCCAGAACCCCTCAGGGACCAAGGCTCCCTGAAGAACAACAGAATCCTCTCAGTAAAGGGAACAAACATCCCAAGGCAATCCTGAACACCGGGTTAAGCTAAAAACCTCCAACCTCAGCTGATGCCCTCTTGGGCTTCCCCTGGGCAGAGCCAGTGAGATGGATGGGGAGGGAAGAACTGCTCTACGTCACAGGCCAGCCTTGGGACATACAGTAGGGTGGACATGGGACTGCTACGGATAAAATATTCTGCAGCTTCTAGTCAAGAACTTCAAACTATGAAGGCAAAACTCTTTTTTAGGGAAAAAAAAAATCACCCACCTTTATGGGACTAGGGTCAATTTGACTAGAGCATATTGTGTATGCAGAAAAAACAATGAAACAACAGATTCCTTTTTTAAAGTGAAATTGTGCCCCGGCATGCCGTGGGTGAGTAGCGTGGGTGGTTAGTGGGCTAATGACTGGCATTGCCATGGGTGGGTAGTGGGCTAATGACTGGCAAGCATTGGGGAAGGATCAGAGATTTTAAGTGAGCAGAGCTGTTTTTGAGAGAAACAATAATAGTATATAATACAGTGGACAGGATGAAGGCCAGAAGCAAGAAGTTAAATAAACACATTGTCCATGTAAAAACCAGTTTTCGTCCTAAAGGGGATAAGAGATAGTTTATTTTGGAGCCATTGTGAGTAACCACTGCCCAGGAGCACAGATCTGTTAACTCAGATTCCATGTTCCAACATGGAAGCAGTTTTATGGCATTTTTATGGTTTTACAGGACAAAGAGAGTCATATATCAATGCAACTTTAAGCTACATTGGTGGGTGCACCAGACAGGGGGTTATGAGGAGATGGATGGAGCTATTTTAAGCGCTCAGATGCTATCGGATGATGTTCTTAGCTCCTGGATTGGTCGAATTTTGTTCTGCTAAGTTAGTAGCTTCTCAGAGGTTTTGTTTGATTGTATGTTTTCATATCATAAGGCGTTACAGAACGGGGCAAGGACTAGCTGTCCCCAAAGCTAACACTAACCCAAGATAAAGTAATTAGCCTCCGAACCTAGAAAATTCCAATCTCTGTGGCCAGCCTGGGCTGCATGAGACCCAGTCTCCAAACAAAACATATCCACAGGGCTACAGAGAAAGGTCCCAGGTTCGATTCCCAGCACCCACATGATGGCTCACACTGTCTGTAAGTCCAGTTCCAGGGAATGTGATGCTGTCTTCTGGCCTCACACACACGTGCACAGACAGGCATGCAGGCAAAAATACACATAAAATAATTGAAAAAACAGACAAAAGGACTCGGATACACTATTATGCACGATTAGTGAGAGGAACCTACGGATTCTAACAACCCCGTACACTTCGGTGCTTGGACAGGATCTCGGAACAGAAAGGGCAGCTTGGTAAAGCTGTGAGGAATCTGAATCAAGTCCACGCTGGTTAATCGTGTGCCGGTGTTGGCTCTCAGCTGTGGTAAACCTCCCACGGTAACACCTGGTGGTAGCCCACAGGGAAAGGAGGCACAGGATGTGGGAACACGGTCCTGTCTGTGTGGGTCTAACTTCTCAGTGGGTCCTAAGATGGTTCTGCAAATTCATGTTGGTTAAAACCAAAAACATCGACTGAGAAATTGAGAAACGATTCTGTGCTTCCCTCACAGGGGAGAGCTCTCTCTGAAGCAGCTGACCTCAGAACACACCTCTTCAGCCCAAGTCTTTCCAAATCTTCCACAACGGAGATACGATGGGGATAATTACAAGACGGTGGTGTTTTAGAAATTCGACTTTTTGATTTGAAATGGATGTTGCTCTTTGATTTGGCTTCCCCTTTCTTCCACGTCATCAAATATCCCAGCTTATAATTTTTTTACACTTTAAACATAGACCAAATAAAAGATTTTACTAAGAGGATTGTTCTGTTTTGTGTGTGGTGCTGGGGGTTCAAGTTACGGCCTCGTAGGTGCTAAGTAGTTTCTATTCCCCACCTTCTGCCCCAGCTACATTCTTTATGCCTCTCCGCCTTCTCTTGAATGCTTTCATCACCAGCTGATTTGAAGGGTTCAGTTTATCACCCCTCTCCCGCCTGGTTGTTCAGTCTCTGGGCTTTGATCAGCAGCAATTCAGCACTTTCATGAAGCTTGAGGTGGGGTGTGGAAGCCACAGGCTACAGCTAACAGACTACCCTGAGACACTTTCCTTCCCTGGAACTAACTGATCAGCATGTTTACTGACCAAGTGAGACTTCATTGCAGTGAACATTCCAGGACTTTCCTTTTGGCTGCCAGCACACAAAAAATGATATGAACACCTATTGCTAATTATGAAAGCTTGGCCTATAGCTTGGGCTTGTCCCTCTAGCTCTTTTTTTTTTTTTTTTTTTTTTTTTTTTGGTTTTTCAAGACAGGGTTTCTCTGTGGCTTTGGAGCCTGTCCTGGAACTAGCTCTGTAGACCAAGCTGGTCTCGAACTCAAAGAGATCCGCCTGCCTCTGCCTCCCAAGTGCTGGGATTAAAGGCGTGCGGCACCATCACCCGGCCCCTCTAACTCTTATAACTTAAATTAACACACTTATGTTCATCTACATTTTGCCTCCTGGCTTTTTCCTCCCTTCCATCTTGCTCCTCCTGTTTTCCTCTCCATGGCCTCTGGTGTGTTTCTAGCACCTAGATTCATCTCCTCTTCCTCTCTCTCTCCACGCCTAACCTCTTCCTGCCTAGCTATTGGCCATTCGGCTCTCTATTAAGCCAATCAAAAGGCACCTTGGCAAAGACACATCTTTACATTGTATAAAAAGATTATTCCACAACACCCAGGTCTGGCTTCCAGCTGAATGCTTGAGAGGTTTGTGGTATTTTATCTTATTTTTTTGTCTTTTTAAATATGAGGTAGTAATGCCAAAGGAATTCAAGGTAATAAAAAGGATTTACCAATAGATTTGCTTAGAAGACATTAAATCATGCAAAGAAGACTTTAGTAAGGGATAGAGCTGCCCTAAAATGCCTGAGTCACCGGTATGCTAGCCAGGCCTATCAGAGACAAAGAAGATTTATGATGCAAGGACACGAATATTTGTTCATCAGGATTTATCAGCCATTAGGCCCATCCCCAGCAAACCTGTCTCTAACTGGCAGCTTAGGGGGCAACACAGGGTCACAGCCACCAATGTGTCCTGATCAGTCATTAATCCCTCTGTGCTCTTATCAGGAAAACAGAATCCTGCTGGGTGGGCAAACTGAACCTGGGTGACTACTGTTGGAAAGGGACAAGGCTGGTAACCTAAGAAAGCAGTAATTCTGGTGACGTTTATACTATGCAAATTTTCCACCTGGCCAATGACCAGATTTCCATTCTCCTGCCCCCATTTAAATTGCTCAAAGCGTAACCCAGGGAAAGGACAGGAAAGAGAGGTAAGGACAATGGCCTGTAAGTGCACAGGCCTAGGGTGTAGAACAGAAAGTCCTCCGTTGAGGCCAGCTCCTACTTGGTTGTCAGCTGCAGTCAGCCGTGTGGGTTCATAAAGGGCTTTCTCGCTGCCGTGCCCAGAGCATGGCTCACTGGGAAGGCATATAACCTCTATAACACAGTGATAAAATTGACATTGTCAAAGTTGATGGCTCAGTTTAGGTTAAATATTAATGGATAAATGTTTAAGACAATTTTAAAGAACATTTTTAGCCTACTTAATTCTGCCCTGCATCTTACTTGCAAATCTCCCCAAGCCATTCAATGCTCCTGAGGCCACTTCATTTGTCAGGGTCAGGAAGACCAAGCCATTATACCTAGTAGATTGATTATAAAATTTCAGTGAAATAAAATCAATACACCTGCATTTCTTTTCTTAATTAATTTTTTTTTCATGTGCATTGCTGTTTTGTCTGCATTTCTATCTGTGTGGGGGCATCAGGCCTCCTGGAACGGAAGTCACAGACAGCTGTGAACTGCCATGCGCCAGGAATGGAACCCAGGTCCTCTGGAAGAGCAGCCAGTGCTCTTAACTGCTGAGCCGTCTCTCCGACCCCTGCACCGACATTTCATAGACATGAAGGTACTCTGACCTTCCTTTCCCTCTCATGGAGCAGAGTCCTTGTGCGGCTCCGCTCTCCTCTTTCCCACCAGTGTCCCTGCATAAAGTCATCCCTCAGCTTTCGCTGCCTCCTACAGAACACGGCTCCTAAAACGTGAGCCCGAGGAGGGAGACCTGCCGACAGCCGCACACCTCACCGCTGCTCTGCCGCTCTGCGTCTTCAGAGCTTTAAGTATTAGTGCCGGCCGGATTTTCTGCAATATCGCTGGTGCCCACCTGTTTGTGTAAATGACTGTCCTTCTGACCAACTGTTCAGAACTCACCTCTGCATCCACAGTAAGGGCAGTGCAGCCCAGGACCCCCCTGACCACCACATGGTCTCCGATGTGAGTGATAAAACCTGCAGTATTGAACTGGAATATTCTATGAGTGTGCAGTTTCAGTAATCCTTTGGAGATTCTGACCAAACAATCATGTCAACTGCAAAAAATAAAATAAAATAAAATAAAAACTATTTTTTTCTTCGTTTACAATCTGTGTAATTCTTTTTCTCTTTCTGGTCATCTGACATAGCTAGGGATTATGGAATGAATGTTCAATATGGGTGTTGAGAGTAGGCAGTTTGCTGGGCAGTGGTGGTACGCACCTTTAATCCCAGCACTCAGGGGGGAGAGGGAGGTGGATCTCTGAGTTTGAGGCCAGTCTGGGCTACAAAGAGTTCCCCAAACAGCCATGGCTACACAGAGCAATCCTGTCTTAAAAAAAAAAAAAAAAAAAGTTAAAAACAAACAAAAAAAAACAATAACAAAATAAAAGAGTAGACATTGACCATATAAACAAACTGAAAAATAAAAACCACACGATCATCTCATTAGATGTTGAAAAAGCTTTTGACAAAATACAACTTCCCTTCATGATAAAGGTCTTGGAAAGAGCATGAATT